GCCCGAAATGTCAGCCTCTCTGCTCCTATGATGCCGCTTGGCCTGCTGCGTTCATCCAGCCCTGCACCTTGTTGTCTCTGATTCTCTTACTGTGGCTGGTTAGAAGGAAGGTAGTACCCAACTCAAGGATAGTGGAGAGAAGTTGCGCAGACACACACAGGACAAGAAGACAATGAGGAGTCTTAGTTTAGCTTTGTCACAGTTATGCAGGATGTCATTTGGGATGCTTCTCCTTACAGAGTTACTCTCATCACCAAAACTCCCTCGTTCTCAAAACCTCCACCACTCCCAAAACCCTTCACTGATCTATGTTGGACATTGTAGATGGACTCTAGGCTCAAGGGCAACTAGGGACAGGCAATAAATGCTGGCTGGCCAGCCAGCAACACCCAGATCCCACAAGTGAATTAAAAAAGTGATAACGAGGTCCAGATGTTGAGATGGCCAAAGCCTTGCGTTGCCCCTTCAGGAAGGGCTGATCGTTTGCTGGGTTGTTTTTCTACTCTGGGGTCAAAATTCTAACTTAGAGTATATATGCACTGTAACAGAAAGAATGAAAAATATTTCCTAAGTTTTCTTCTTTGTTTTCAATAAGTGTGTGCATACATTTTCACCAATTAAAAATTTGTACACAGTCGCCCGTGATGGCCAATTTGTTAAAGATGCTTCTTCATGAGGTAGAGAAGCCAATGAGGCTGGAATGTGTTCCAGATTTGATTGCTAATCTTCAGTGATCTCAGCCTGAGTAGCAATTAGCTACTACACAGCCTCAGTATTCCTGGGCGAGGAAAGGGATAATTGACCAGGGTTCTTGCCTTAGGTTGTATATGCAGAGTTTGCACAGCATCAGGTTCAGTTCTGGTGCCCTTATAAAGAGTCTGCTGCAGAGGCTCCTGATTGAGAAAGGGGCACCTGGGCAAGGTTATGGATTCCTGCTATTGCCTGTGAATCCAGCCCCATATGAGCCAACACCTTCAGCAGAGAAGGGGAGGAAATGTACAGCATGACTGTTGTCAGCATTCTTTACAACAAAATTCAGCAGTTGCATTGGCTGGCAAATCCTGCGTACTGAATGTTGCTAGCTTGACAGCTGCACCTGAGTTTTCCCTGGTGGCACTCTTGGAGCTTGAGTAGTCAGTTTTATAAATTTGTGCCTGCATTTCACAGTAACCAAACCTGCTCAACAGGATGAAGAAGTCCCTTCTGAATGCTTTCGTGAAGATTGCATAGAGAAATGGATTTGCACAAGAGTTGAGTGGATAAAACAATACTAGCAAAATTTTAGCATTAGTCACTGTAATGAAGGGTGACTTAAAAGCTGCTGAAATAGCAAAAAATGATATTGGAGCCATACACATAAAGTCTGTAAATATTAGTATAGCCATTCGTTTGGCAATCTTTGTATCACTATTTTTGGAAACAAAGTCAGGGTTTTTCACAGCTAAATATATTTTGATATAGCAGACACAAATTATAACAAAGGCAATAACATTCAGTACCAATAGGAATATAACATAAGCCTGGGAAACAGGAGTTTCTATATCCATGGGCAAACAGATGCTAACTTTCATGTAATTGCTGATTCCTACAAGTGGTAGTGTTGCGACACTAAGAGAGAATACCCAGCCTCCGAACATAATCAGTACAGCATGCCTTAAACGGAGCTTCCTGTCCATCTGCATGGCATGTGTAATTGTGTGCCATCTTTCAAAGGTAATCACCATCAGTGTGTACACAGAGAGCTCACTTGCAAAAACAGTAAAGAAGCCAGCACTGGCACACCCAGCTCCAGTCTGCCAGTCTATAGCGTAGTTGTAATATTGACTTTTGGTACTCAAATCAACGGACGCAATAAGTAGCAAATAGAGACCCATACAGAGATCGGCAAAAGCAAGATTGCACATGAGGAAACGTGGGACTGTAAGCTTATTCTGACTAATCACCAAAACAATAAAAACAACAAAGTTACCCACAATAGCAAGAATGTTAATGAACCATATAAGAACTCTTAGAATGTTGTATCCCATTATATCTTCACATGGATTGAAGGCATCTGGTTCTGGAGTACAGATGAGGTCTACCTTTGCATGGCAAAAGCCGTAATCAAAAGATACTGCATTTTCATATATTTCTTCTAAGTCTTCATATTCGTCATCAGGGTTATTTTCCAGAAAGTGTGAATAATTCTGTGAGGAAGGATATTTCTTCATTCCTGCAGAAATATTCTGTAAACTCTTCTGTCCAAATTGTGATGGTGGTAGACTAAGATGAAAATAGTCATTTCTGAAACTACAAGCAGATAAAGAGATGACCGTTTTTTAGTAGATGGGTACAAAAGGTAAATCCACAGTCTAACAGGTTTTGTGTTTCAAATAGTCATGTTATGGCAGTATTTCAAAACACCAACCAATTTCAGTTTCCTTCATCCATCACATTGTAAGTGCAATGTTATAAAAAGTTAACTTAAGGGATTGATAAATGGTAACGCCATAAATAGAGTAGAATGATACTTAGTTATTTATCAAAGGTGAAAAGGACCATAAAACACCGGCACTGCATTCAGCGTCTGACAAGTCCTTAAGCGGTTGGTGCCCACCACTTCCATTTAAAATGTTTGTATTAAAGAATGGTCACAACTAACAGCCACCATTGTGGAGGGATTTTCCTCAACAGGCAGACTGCAGATGAAGTTGTAACCAAGTATCCTCTATAAATGGCTCCAACGCCACAACACACTGGAAAGGCATTAATTTCCTGTACACCATAGCATCCAAACTGACACAAGAGAACCGGCGTTAGTTAGCAATAAATGCATCTTTTAAAAAGGAGAACTGACACACAAGTCTATACACAACAAAAAAAAATCATTCCACGGACTGGTGATGCCATAGCTAAGTGGTTCCATATTTGTCTGTAGCATAGTCTCTGCACCTCAAATAATTCCGAATATGTAAGATGCTTTGAGATGGGACTTTTTTCACTGGACCGTAGAAGGTTGAGAGGTGACCTTATAGAAATTTATAAAATAACGAGGGGTATAGATAGAATTAATAGAAGTTGTCTTTTCACTAGATTGGGGGATGTCAAAAGTAGGGGGCACATTTTCAAGGTGAGAGGACAGAGATTTAAAAAAGACGTGAGGGGTAAATTTTTTACACAGAGGTGGTTTGTGTGTGGAATGAACTCCAGAGGAAGAGGTGGTACAATTACAATGTCTAAAAGACGTTTGGATAAGTATGTGAATAGTAAATGTTTGGAGGGATATAGGCCACGAGCACGCAGCTGGCACTACATTAGTTTGGGATTACAATCAGCTTGAAACATTGGAGTGAAGTGTCAGTTTCTGTGCTGCATGACTCTATGCCTCTACGTGATAATACATAAATGCAATTTTTAATGAAATAAAACTGTTCAGTATTAAATTGCCCAATTGATACAGTGTTGACTACATCAGCAACAACTATATTTTCCCTATATAACTTCTGAACTTCTACGTCTTCAAGCTAAAGTTTTGTTTTTATTTACAAGAAATTAATTATTTCAGTTTTTCAGGTTCTCAGTTCATGGAATATTCCTTTGTTGAAGGACTTAAAACTACTGTCACCCTTTTCTAGCCCCTCACTCTTATTTGCTGCCTGTCAGTCTCCTTTGACAAATCCTCATTCTGTTTTGCATACTTCTCACACCATTTTTCAACTCCCCCTTTCATGTTATACCGCTCTTCTTTCCTTGAAGTGCCTCCCTGCCTGTTACAGTCCCTCTCTCACTTTTGCAGCCTCATTTTCCCAGTTTGTAGCTCATCTCCTTCACTTTGCAGGTAGAATAGACATGAGGTTATCAGCAGCAAATGCAGAAGAGACCAACGCTATATCTGAAGGAGCAGTTATTCACAGATTCTGGCAGTTCTTCTCACAGGCTGACCTTTTCTCATTGGTAACCTCAATGATTTCATTTTCCTAGGCATTTTGGGAATTTATAAGGAGCAAATTTGCCTGCCATCCACATGTATTTTAAGCACTGGTATCAAACAATTACTTTTTACTTGTTTTTGTAACTTGGTTGTTCACATCAGCCATGTTAAAACTGTTAAACTAACGTGCATTAGCCACAGAAAAGCATTCCTTATTCACCATCATGACACTGCCTTTTTCCTTAGAAATTACACTTATAAATCTCTCCTGAGAATTTAGCACTAATCCTGAGCTACTGTGCACCCAAGTAAAATTCAACTGTCTATTCAAATTAATTTTATTTTAGAGGATCACATAGTATTGAGTGATGAGGAAGGTCAAATAGCCCATTATAATTCATTCCATGCAGAAAATCTCTACACTCACCAATTCTTCCAAATATTGGGAAGACAGAAACTTTTCTGATCCCAAGTGAACTTCCAACAATGTAGCCATGTCATCAAGAGTGCCTATTCCCAGCTTAGTAACGTTATTCCATTCCAACCTGCCTCAGCTCATCTATCACACAATCCTTACCCATGACTTTGTTACCTACACTCTTTAATATTCCATACTCTTCTGCTGGGCCTTCCATCTTCCATGTTTCATAAACTTGAGCTGAGTCTAAACCCCACTGCCTGTATACTATCTTGTACTAAGTGCTATGTCCTCACTGACCCACACTGGCTCCCAGTCCAGCATGGTCTCAATTTTAAAAGCTTCATCTGTTTTCAACTCTTCCTTGTCGTTGTCTTTTCCTATTTCACTCACCTCATTCAGACCTACAGAGCTCTGAGATGTCTGCCTCTTCTAAGTTTGGCCTCCTGTATGTGTCCTATTTTAAGAATTGACAATTAGCATATGCGGAACACCTTATTTAGGTTTATTCTTCAAGGGAGTTTGTTTCATTGTTAGCTGTAGCCCATACAATTTGCATACTTGATCAGTAGTGGGTCATTTAATTTTCTAGAAGTATTCTTGGTATTATTGTCTGTTATACTTTAGCTATAACCTAGTGGATGCTTATAGAGAAATGAAGGGAAGACCTAACTAGATATTTAGCTAAATAAAAATTTAATGCAACATTTTTGAAATACACTAAGCTGAACCCGGTTCTTATTGGTAGAATGTGAAACATGTGTAATGAAGTTGACAGAGGTTAAGATACAGTTTAAGTTGTTTCTGATCCTACAAAAAAAACGTTTGGAGAGCAAAAGTGGTTCAATTAATTATTTTATGTTTTGATGTTTGGAACCATACTTACTATATCTTATTCTGTTCATGGCTGGTGACAAAATCCTGATCTGCAGCTACTTTTCCTGTTGCAACTTCACATGACTTCGAAAAGTTGTATAAAAATATGGGCATGGAATTCTGTCTGAAGGGAAAGGAACAATCAACTGTATCCAAAACTGTTTGCTTTCCTCCCTGCCCTTTTCCTCACTGGAGGGCATCAAGTCTTTGGCAAAGGCCACATACTCTCAGCCATCCTACATACACACATACAAATCTTTACAGTGTATCTCAAGAAACCAGCCAGTAATTAATCTCAATCCTTTACTTGACCAAAATCCACTCATGGACTCATTTTGCAAAGATTACGGTACAGTGATAGGGAGTGAGTAGTTCATCAACATTGTGTCCTTGATCCTGTTTTGGGTGTGAATTTTATTGTCTTACTGTCTCTCCAGCTGAGATCAAGGCACTGACAATAAGGTTGGATCTTGGTAAAATCATGGTGTCAGTTATTTATCACTTAAAATCACAAGACCTCTGTGAGCTTACCAGGAATTATTTGTTCGGCTTTAGTTTAAGAAGGATGAATTTCTTTTACGTTGCATGTTAAACCTGCAGAACTGGAAAATGCTTATTGTCTACTGAATTTGTCCTATCATGGGCTCAACTTAACACTCTCAATGTTAAGAGGCACCCAACAGGTAAAATTCATTAAAAACATTTTGAAATTCATCTCTCATTGGTGATCAAGAAATCCTAATTGAACTGTAAGCCACACTCACAACAGGACATCTTAATTATCTTCCACTTTATTGTCTTGGAGGTTTTAAGTAGTATTTAATTGCTTCCTTGAGCGCTGTGTAACAACTTCTGCTATAAGTACTTTGGAAATTACAGTTAGTCTTTTGCTCTCGGGAAAATTTGTGTTTTTTAACTATATTTAAAGTTTTGAATATTTAAATGAAAAGAAAACAGTTGGAGATAGCTAACACATGAGTCAAAAGCCCTGCTTGATGAATCTAAGCTTCCTTTGAGGAGTTGACTAATATGGTGCATGAAGGAACCACACTTTACTTGGTGCATATGGACTTTCTGAAAGCCAATGACAATTTAAAACATGGGAAATTATTGGAGTACATAAAGGAGACAATTTTAACCTAATATGTCTGTCAGAAACTGATGGGATCTGGTCAGCCACCCACTATATAGCTCAATTTTATATTCCACTAGCTACAGGGGTGATATTTTTTAGGTGACTGACAGGATCACTTTATTTCCCATCAGCTTGGGTGGTTAACAGTACCCCTAAAACAGATATCTCTGTTGCCAATAGTATTTCACAATGGGGATCAGTTAGCTCAGTTGGCTGGATAGTTGGTTTGTGATGCAGAGAGATACTAACAGTGCAGATTCAATTCATGTACTAGCTGAGGTCACTATGAAGGCTCCATTTTCTCAAGTTCACTCCTTGGCTGAGGTGTGGTAATCCTCAGGTTAAACACACTACGAGTTGTTTCTCTCTCATAAGAGAGTGGGACTATGGAAACTTTACCTTTCATAATGGGCCATTTCCTTTACCAAAAGAAAGATTTGAAGGGCGGGAAAGAAGGCTATAATACACTAATGTTTGTATCTTGACAAATGAATATCTATGTTTGTACCAATGTGGCATGGATTTCAAATTCCATCAACAATTATTGACTTCATTCATGACTACTCTTGATTTGACAGTTTGCATTACTCTGTATCTACTTTACTCTGTACACTGAAGAACAGCTCATTTCTAATAATCATAACAACTTTAATAATTCTCTAGTGTGGAACACAGATTAGGAAGGTGACAGCATCACATGAACTTACCCATTTGATTTTTTCCAATTTTTGAATGCACAGCAGTGACTGGGATATGTCAAATTTGCTTCCATCAAATTAGCAAACTTTTCCAGTGATGGGAACCTTTTCAGTGAGTATGTGAAACGTGCAGTAAGCTTATGAATAAATTCCAATCCATAAGATGGAAAGTGCTCAAGTGCTGTTGAGGAAACATCCCTGTAATAAAACAAAATGTTTGTACATTTTTCTCTTTACTGATCAAATCACAGGTAATCTATGTTGGAACTGTTGAAAAAAAGACATGTTGCCTCAGACTCCAAGCTCTCAGTGGAAATTCCCTTTCCTTTACCTATATTTATTCATTATTGTCATTGCTGTGAATTTACCACTTATCCCACACTTCTTCCTTATATCTATAGTATGTTGAAATCAATACTTAATAAACTGTTTTGCACTTTAAACTGTTCTTTCTCCAAGTACTCAAGTTGCCTAAGGTCCTTAAAGTTTTTGAGAAGACTTGTAGCTAGGGTTGAGGATGGGGTTGTTGATTTGTTTGCTGAGCTAGTAGGTTGGTTTGCAGACATTAATGTCCCATAGTAGGTGACATCATCAGTGCACCTCCATTGAAGCATTGTTGGTCTGTCCTGCTTGTTATTTATGTGGTCTGGTTTGATGTGGTGGTTGGCCTCATTCCTGGTTCTGCTGCGTAGTGGTTGGCATATAGGGTCTATTTCCACATGTTTGTTGATAGAGTTCTGGGTTGAGTACCAGGCCTCTAGGAAATCCCATGTGTGTCTTTGGTTGGCTTGACCTTGGATGGTTACATTGCCCCAGTTGAATTGATGGCCTTCTTTGTCTGAGTGTATAGAAATGAGTGGAAGTTGGTTGTGTCTCTTAGTAGCTAGTTGGTGCTCAAGTACCCTGATAGCACGTTTTCTGCCGGTCTGTCCAACGTAGTGTTTGTGGCAGTTCTTACATGGGATTTTATATATAACGTTGGTCCGGTTAGTTGTGGGTATGGGATCCTTCGTTCTTGTCAATAGTTGTCGTAATGTAGTTGTGGTTTTGTGTGCTACCACAATTCCTAGTGGTTTCAGTACTCTGGTGGTCATCTCTGGTACATTCTTGATGTATGGCAGGGTGACTAGTGCACTCCTGTTGTTGTCCATTGAGTAAGTACTGGCAGACTACGCTTTGTAGGTAGCCGTTGTCCTTAAGGACGCTGCGGAGGTGTTTTTCTTTGGCTTTGCGCATCTCTTGGGTGCTGCAGTGTGTTAAGGCTCTTTTGAACAGAGTTCTGATGCAGCTCTGTTTGTGGGTGTTGGGGTGGTAGCTTTGTAGTTAAGTATTTGGTCCGTGTGGGCGGCCTTCCTGTATACACTGGTCTGGAGCTTACTGTTAGCCCTTCGTTCGACCATTATGTCCAGAAATGGGAGTCTGTTGTTGTTCTCCTCTTCCCTGGTGAATTTTATGCTGGTGAGGATGTTGGTGGGTTTCCTCCAGTTTTGTGCGCTTGATCACGACAAATGTGTCATCCACATGGCAGAGCTATAGTTTTTGCTGGATAGTTGGAAGGACTGTCCGTTCTAATCTTTGCATTCCTGATCATCAGTACTGAGCTCCAGACCAGCGGATACAGGAAGGCCGCCCATAAGGACCAAATACTTAACTACAACAGCAACCACCCCAATACCCACAAACAGAGCTGCATCAGAACTCTGATCAAAACAGCCATAACACACTGAGCACCCGAGAACTGCACAAAGCCGAAGAAGAACACCTCCGCAGCATCTTTAAAAACATCAGCTACCTACAAAGTGTAGTCCATCGGTATTTACTCAACAGCCAACAACAGGAAGACACAGCATGCCCGAATACACTAGTCACCCTGCCATACACTAAGAACGTATTAGAGGTGGCCACCAGACAACTCCAACCACTAGGAATTGTGGTTGCATACAAACCCACAGCTACACTGCGACAACTACTGACAAGAACAAAGGATCACATACCCATAACTAACAGGACCAACGTTGTATATAAAATCCCATGTAAAGACTGCCACAAACACTACATCGGACAGACCAGGAGAAAACTAGCTATCAGGGTACATGAGCACCAACCAGCTACCAAGAGACAGGACCAACTATCACTCGTTTCCATACACTTGGACAAACAAGTCCACAAATTCGACTGGGACGACGTAACCATCCTGGGACAAGTCAACTAAAGACACGCATGGGAATTCCCAGAGGCCCGGTACTCAACCCAGAACTCTAACAAACATGTGGAAATAGACCCCATATACTAACCACTATGAAGCAGAACTGGAAATGAGGCCAACCACCACATCAAACTGGACCACATAAATAACAAGCAGGACAGACCAACAACGCTTCATCGGAGGCGCACTGATGATGTCACCTAGTATGGGACAAAAATGTCTGCAAACCAACCTACTAGCTCGGCAGACAAATCAACAGCCCCCATTCCTAATGTCCTCCTAATTTTGTCTGTCTTTTCTTCACCCTATAACCCAGGGGTGTTAAATATTGTAGCTTAGTGTCACTGAACCACCACATTTTTCATCTTTCTTACTTTTCTCAACATTGTTAGTGACTTGCACTATTGACCATGGCTACGGGCCAAGTGCTGGAAAATACGATGAGAATAGATGCACGTTTGATGGCAGGCATGGACTCGATGGGTGAAAGAGCCTCTTTCTGTGCTATAAAAACACAATGAATCTATGACCATTGCCATTTATCCAGGTTTCTCAATAAAAAGAGAATTGCAGTTGATATATTACAATTGATGGATTAGCAACCAAGTCAATAAACATAACGTTGAGCAACAGTGTCAGTCTTAAGTACTCAAAAACACTGAAATATCTTTACTGCTGCAAAAAGTCAGAATTCAGAACAATTAACTTTTATTTGAAGTGGACAGCATGTCAGTCCAATGATCAAGTAAACAAGCAATAATCTTGTACTACAATCACATAAACAGCCATCTGGTCTCCTTTCTGACATTTGCTGAAACAGAGGAAATGTCTGCTCTTTTGGTTCTCGTAAATGATTTGATGCTATTCAGGGACACATTCAGAACACCTGAAAGGGATCATTTTCCAATCTATTAACTTGCTGAGTCAGAAATTCTGCTTGGCTGTCTTACATATTGTTGATGCATATTTACTGCCCGAACATAACCACTAACAGCAAATATAAAAACAGTAGCTCAGTCAACAAGCTTGTTTCCCATTCCAGTAGATCATGGTCTGTAATTCAACTCTACTTACTCTGCATTTGCACCATGACTCTTGATACATGCCTACCAAAATTCTATCAACCTGATCCCCTACCACCCCGACCCCCACAATCACCACTTTAGTCTTGGGAGTGTAGGTACATTATTAATGCTGTTAGGAAGGGAGTTCCACAATTTTGATTTGGTAAAGGTAAAGGAACAGCGATACAGTTCCGAGTAAGATTGTGTGTGGTTTGGAGGGGAACTTGCAGGTGGCGGTGTTAATTTGCATCTGCTGCCGTTGTCCTTCTAGACTGTAGCAGTTATGGGGTTGGATGGTACTGACAGAGGAGCCATGGTGAGTTGCTGAATTTCTGGATTTATGTTCTGGATTTTCCCATTCCTTGCATAATCATCAATTTGCACCATCTAGATTATGTAATGATTATACGTGTTCAATGGGATATTGACTAATGGCACTGTATATCACAGAAATAATTCAAATGGATTGGCAGAAAACAGCACTGTGCATGCAGAAATTCACTGAGGCAATATCTGGGGCAGGAATCTCATAGAAATATAAAAGATTTACATTGCAGAAGGAGGTTGGTTGGCCCATCTCATCAGCTGTGTGAAAAACAGTTAGCCAGCTCAATTGTTGGCCAAAGGAACACCCTTGGATATCAATGATTTTATTGATTCACAATGTCAGAGAGCAAACTAACTCTGTTGGTCAGTGATGCCTCATTCACTGGTCTATTGTCAAGAGCAGGTTATAATGATATCAATGGCAGGGTTTTGGATCTGATTTAATAATTTAAATCCAGCAACTGTAATATTTCATTAAGTTAGGGAGTGTATTTCCCATTTCCCACTTGGTATATGCACAATGATTTTTTTTCCTATTATTTATAAGTATATGCACAAGTGTAGAATCTCATTATGCTTTACCTGGTGCATGGCTACACATATATAATTTTAAAAACTGTAATCCTATTGGTTACATTGTATCATTTATCTATTATGAAGGGGTAATAGCAAAATCATAAGTGCTCAAATTTAACATTATCCTTTACCACAATTCATTAGAATTTCCTTCTGGTTGTCAGCTGCAGAGAGCAATAGGTGCTTATTTACATCTCTGGTTCCAGAGCGACCAGTCAAAAGAAATCCCTACCCATCAATCCACCTTTCAAAATGGCTGCCCGCGCTTTGAATTTTCAATCAGGGGAGATGCTAGCTTTGGAGTTGGACTGGGCAACCCTATCTCCAAAATATGTCAGGCAGAAAGTCTGTTTCGGGGATCTGGCCCTTTGTTTAAAGTTTAAAAATAAAAGTTAATACAGAAAACTGTCTCTCTTGCTCTTACATCATCACTCTCCAGGCCCAATGCGCGTTTTCTCAGCTTCGCGGTGGGTCCGGCCCGGGATTCCAATGGGAGGGTTCTGGTCCTCGAACCCAAAACCATGAAATGGATTAAGTGGACTTTGTCTTAAAATCTCTTTTTTAAAATTTCTTTTCTTTATTATATTATCATGGAAGGACTGTTATTCTGAACTTTTATTTCCTTATGTTTCTAATTTTTTACCATGATTTTGTATTTTTGAAGATCTGTAATGCTGGACGTTTTATTTCTTTAGTTTTCTAATTATTTTTTCTCTAAGAATTTGTACTCAAGAATCTGTACCTAGGTACCTTTGTACCTAAGACGGCGCCATAAGAGGTGACTTGTAAACTTTTCACTGTATTCAAATGTATTCATGTGACAATAAAGTTAATTCAGTTCAAAGCTAATTCAATTCCCCTGTACATACTCTCCATGGCTCTTGTATCCTTTAAACCAATTAGTGTCTTTGTACCCAACACCATAGCCCCTCATAACCCACGTGCCACCCTACATCCATATATCCATCCCTCATGACCACTCACCTCCACATTAATCTACTCAATCTCTCAGGGCACTTCCTACTTCATAAGCTTTCAATATGTCCCATGGCCCTTTATAGTTCCTATGTAAACTCAGTACCAACTCAAATCCTCTATCAACTGTGTTTTGCCTTTCCCTTTCCCTTTCCATGCCAACACATCCATTATCCAGCATGAGTATTAATCAGGCAGCACCATTACAGAAAATAAGGTCACAAGTCTATTGATGGTAGTGAAAAAAAAGTACACTCTCAATAAAGCAAATATCCAATTCATTGAAATTGCTTCAATTAATTCATTTCACTTAAGTTCTCAAAGACTCATAAAAATGAACACCACTTATGTTGACAAATGTTTGCTACATTTGCAATTTAGCAATTAGAGCTGCCTATCAATAGGCAGCCCAATGCGAAAATGGTAGTTTGGGAAATAAGTGATGCATCACGAATCCTGTAATAGTTTAATATGGACATGGTCTGTGAAGCAGCTAGCGGTGTTTTTCTTTTACTCCACACACTCATTTGGAAAACTTGGTATCTCCAAGAGTTCAGACGTATTTCATGTGCAAGCAAGCCTTTTCATAATCTCAAAATGTGCCTTATCTCCAAAACAAATCCTTTACCTCCAGCAAAGGTAGTCTGGGACCAGATCCAAAAGGTTATCTTGCCTTTCTAAAAAGATAAATTGTAAAAAAAATTCTTGTAGCTTTCATTCTCCCTCATACCCATGCACTCCCTATACACTCATGACAACCCATGCAACCTAATGCCTTCCACCCATTCTCATGCCTCCTCTACCAATATGTGTCCACTTCCACCATCAGTCTTTCCCCCTCCACCTACCATGTCAATTTATTGAATATCCACAAGTCCTCAGCACATAGGAGAAAAAACATAGTTCCATTATTTAATATAAGTTGTTGTGACTTACAATACGTCTGGTCCAATAGCTCCTCTAAAAGCATCATTGTGTATTGTCCTTAAATTTTTATTATCATTAAGTTCCCTGCAATAAAAAAAATTAGAATGTGTTAAATGTTCAAAGAAATAAAGAACATACTTCACAGAATCATGGAATTGTTATCACAGAAGGAGGCCATCTGGCGCACGCGGCTGCACCAGTTCAATTAACTAGTGCCGATCTTGTCATCATATCCCTTCACACCATTTCTATCCAAAGAATCAACCAATGCTCTCTTGAATGCCACAACTGAATCTGCCAACACATTTCCAGGCTGTGCATTCCATACCATAATTGCTCGCTTTCTGAAAAGAATTTTTTCTAATATCACCCTTGCTTCATTTTGCACATTACTTTAAATCTATGCTCTCTTGTTCTTTATTCCTTTTACGAGCAGTAACAGCATGTCTCTATCTACTGTATCCAGTCCACTCAATATTTGAAAACCTCTATCAAATTTCATCTCAGTCTTTTTCTATGCAAGGAGAACAGTCCCAACTTCTTCAATCTATCCTCATAATTCAAGTTTCTCGTTCCTGGAACCATTCTTGTAAATCACTTAGAGTCATAGAGGTTTACAGCGTGGAAACTGGCCCTTTGGCCCAATTTTTCCATACTGCCCAGTTTTCACAATTAAACAAGTCCCATTTGCCTGTGTTTGGTCTATATCTCTCCAAACCTATCCTATCCATGTACCAGTCTAAATGTTTCTTAAATGATGAAATTGTACTTGCGTCCACCACTACCTCTGGCAGTCCATTCTAGACACTCACCATCCTCTGTGTGAAAAAAATGCCCCTCTGGACCTTTTTGTATCTTTCCCCTCTCGGCTTAAATCTATAGCCTCTAGTTTTAGACTCCCCTACCATGGAGAAAAGCTGTTGGCTATCTACTTTATCTATGCCTCTCATGATTTTATACATCTCTAAAAGATCACCCCTCAGTCTCCTATGCTCCAGGGAAAAATATCCCAGCTAGCCAACTTCTTCTTATAATTCAAATCTTCCAGTCCAGGTAGCATCCTAGTAAATCTTTTCTGCACTCATTCTGCAATCCCTCCAATGCATTCATATATTTTCTACAATGCAGCATTGACAGTTGTACAAATATAAATTAATATGTCATTTAAATCATTTTCCTTATTTTGCCTTTAGTGCTGTAGCAAAAAAATCCACAAATCACTCAAGTCGTGTAATCCTCAAGACATAACACATGCATACATCATATACTTTGTGCAGTACATTAACATTGAATTTAACTTGCCAAGTGTGCTTTTTTTTTTGCTCAAGCGGGTGAGAGACGTTAATACAAAAGTTTGGGGAGAGTTGGGAGGCTGCAGGGGTATGGGAGATGTGTGAACCATAAAGGGGTGGGGAAGATGTGATTGCTGCAGTGAAGGTGGAGAGACGGGAAGGCCACAAGGGCTTGGCAAAGAGTGGAAAGTTGTAATAGGGTTTGGGGGAGACAGGGAGGCTGCAAGGATGGGGAAGAGAGACCGTAGGCTGCAAAGAACAAAGGATGGCTTCAAATTTGGTAATTATTGAGGATGTTCATGAATTCTTCTAATTCTGCTTATGTGTGAGCCCAAATACTCCATATCAAAATAAGTGCAGAAAATATTGTTACATAACTTTATCACCTTATAAGGGAATTAGTGGGAGTGAAAAAATAATCTCTGAAATCCAAATTGTTGCTCCTGAAAATCAAAAGATAGCCCTCAAGAGGACCCCTTGAAAAACACATTCTACCCTGAATGGAAGAGGGATGGATATCCGAATACTCTGGTTGCACAACGCATTCCCAGCTCAAAGGAATCCTGCAGGAAGCTGGACAATGGTGTCCGGTTATATGACTAGCTGTGGTAGCTACTCAATTAAGCCACATGTGAGTGTTATGTGGGTTCGTATTTAATAACATTTGTGGACTTGAGTCAAAATGAGATACCTGAATTCATTTCTTTTCAAGGTTACTGAAAAGACAGAAAAGAACTTTTTTTTTAAGAAAATACAGGGAATGTGTTGTAAACCACATGGTTCGAGATAATTGCTGGTCTTGGTTGCCTGAACTAACTTCAGGCAAAAGGCCTGTTTAAGTGACTGGATTTCATGGCTGTTTGGTTTGAACAATGTTTTGCAGTATTGGAGATAATTTTGGATATTTAGTTGAAAAAAATCCTTGTTGTGAATCCAGTTGTGAAACCTGATTGCACTCTCAATGAGTGTTAAGAAGAATCCTGTGTTTCCTGATCAAGCTGCATTTGCAAAGATCATGGGCACAAAGTTCACTGTGTTGGTGGCAGTTGTCTGCACATGCCAGGTCAACATTCATCATTGAAAGTTTCACACCTTATCTTCATTTTTCTCCTTCAAGAGCTAAGACTTATTGGCCAAAAGCGTTTATGTCTCAAAGAGAACCTCTGCAGGAATCTTTTCTTTCCTATTTTCCTGGTGTGAATGGGTATGGGTTTGTGTGTTTGTGTTTGGATTTATTTAGAGGGGTGAACATTTTTATGTTTGTATTACAAATTATCTATGTTAACCAATTCTGCATCTTCATTGCGTAAGTTTTGTTTTATAATAAATAAATAATTCTGTGTTTATTAAAGAAAGGCTAATATTAGAGAAAACATATGATTAACCATACCAGGAACTGGGTAAAACAATAAAATCTATATTATGACTTGTTGAGTACTCCACAATACCATTGTGCATTCTGTAGTCTTTCTCTCTCTATTTAAATAATATTCTGCTTTACTATTCTTCCCACCAAAGTGGCCAACCTCACATTTCCCACATTATCATCCATTTGCCCACTTAAATTTCCATAATCTTTTTGTATTCCTTTGTAGATTCTTTCAGTTCTCCTCACAACTTGCTTTCCTATCCATTTTTGTACTGTCAGCAAATTTGGCTACATTATACTATGTCGCTTCATTCACATCATTAATATAAATTATAAAAAATAAGACTCCAGCATTGATCCCTGCTGCACTCCATTCATTACAGATTGCCAACCTGAAGATGAACCATTTATTCGGGTCATCTGTTTCCTGACAGTTAGTTATTAAGATAAAATCTAAGGTTGTGAGAGTCCAACCAGAAGATATAGTTTCGCAAGAAGAAAGAATTTTGAAAAAGAATTACAATATAGTTCAGAACCCTGAGTTGGGGGAGGGAGGGTCATTTAGGAATTGGAAAAATTGGTTTATGATTCCAAATCACCATGCAAAGCTAAAAACCTCAAAACAGTCACTAAGGTAGCAGAATGGTCCAAGGGGACACGTTTTAACATGAATGAAAGCATTTTGTTGCCTGAGATCAAATTACTTCCTTAATTCTAGTCTTAATAATAGCTTGGTGGTTTTGAATTTGCCCTTGTGATTTTTTTTGTTCTAACGTCTGTTTTAAAATGGGTCATAACCCCTTGAGTTGCTTATCAGAAAATAGCAAGAATAAGAACTACTTATCATGTACATGTAGAGTACATTCTTTAAATTTATTCACAGCAAATTCTTTGGAGAAGAGGCAAAATAATCCTGAATTTTTAATTTCTTGAAAATGCAAGTGTGAAGGCATTTTTCAAGAGTTGAAGTTATCTCAAACGTGTGATTATTGTTTCCAGATGTAAGGCTGAAATAATAAATCAAGAAAGAATTTAGCTAAAAGACCCACTGTAGCTTGGCTAAAGATGCAGAATGATCTGACTGGATCAACAATATGCAGAAGAAGTTTTAAAACCTTTCTGTCAGGAAGACTGGCCACTACTTTTTTGTTACATTCCTTGACTGTTGAGCCTCTCTCTTTCAACTCAGAATCAAAAAGCTGGTTATTTCCACAATTTGTTAAAAAAAAATCGCAATGAAATATTGACTTATTTCAATATTGGGCTGCCGAGCCAAGTGTTCTGCCTGTCGATCCATTCTTGCACTGGCCCTTTTGGAAATTCTGGGTTCAGTCCTTTGCATGAACAGTGGCATAGCTGAATGCTGCTATTTTGTAAAATGACAGTACTGTGCTGGGATGATGGAGTTTGAAATTTAAAGTACATGTACAGCCTGAATGTCTGAAAATTTTGGCCCCAGCTGAGGAAGTTTTTAAAGTTTCCTGAAGCCTTCAACAGACATAAGCAGCCATTAGACTAAGCTTCTTCTGATCAGCTGACAGAGGACTAGTACAATAGTGACAGCTCAAATTGAATTGACCTTCCATCCCTCATATACTTCAGCTCAGCCAAAACTCTGACACCTGTATCCTAACTCACTGCAAGTGCCATTCACTCATAACCCCACTCAATTTTAAATTTCTCATCCTGTTTTCAAATCTTTCCATTACCTCACCTTTACCCACCTCTGTAACCTAGTCCAGCCTACTACGCTTGAGGCTCCTCTAATCCAGGCATTCTGCACAACCCCTGTAGTTTTGAAGTGCCAGACATGCCCTTAGCTGCTGAGGCCATATATTAGGAAATGCTATCCTAAATCTCTCCAACCCTCTATCTCAGTTCTCTTTAAGATGCTCACTTAAACCTTCTACATGAACCAAGATTGTGTTCATTTGTCCTACTACTTTGTGCTGTGGCTCAGTGTAAATTTTATTTTGTTACTGTTTCTATTAGTGCCTTGGAGAATTTTACCATGTTAAAGGTGAGTCCAGAACCAAGGGTCACAGATCAAGGGTAGGGGTAGGTCATTTAGGTCTGAGGACAATTTTTTTCACCCAGAGAGTGTTGAGCCTGTGGAATTCTCTGCCACAAAAAGCTGTTGAGGCCAAACAATGAAGCTTTCAAGAAAGAGTTTGATGTAGTTCTTAAGGCTAAAGGAAACAAATGGTATGAGAAGGAAACAGGAACAGGACACTGAGTTGGATGATCAGCCCTGATCATATTGAATAGCTGCGCAGATTGGAAGGGACAAATGACCTTCACCTACTCCTAGTTTCTGTGTTTCTATGAATTATTGATTGATGCAAATTTTTGTTAAATTAGATTCCAATTTCTCAGATGTAATCATCTCTGTGTTGTAGGTGTAGCAAAATTAGAAATGTGTTTCTAAAGAATGTTGATTTTTTAAAATGAATTTATAGATGCATCTATAAATTGAATCTCCATAATTTTGTTGTTCATTGCACAGAAATGAATCTTCACCCTCTCCTTGCCCCATGGTTTATAATTTTGCAGCATTCAGTGAACAGAGAACAACTTTGGGCTGGGTTACTACTAATTTGAAAAGTTTTCAAAGTTTCAATGCACTTTCCTCACAAACTAATAAGCATGAAATAGCCATCTCCAAGCATGTGTTTAAGTAGGTCATTGGATATCTTTATCTGCACTGTTTCAACTGATAAAGCTGCAATTGACCTAAAATATATTTCCTCGTGTCATCAATAAATTCCTTAAGTTCCCAATTTTTATTCTTTGACTTATAATGTGATGTTTTCATCGTAAAATACATTCAGAAAATGAGTAACTCTCGTACCAAAATCTGAGAGGTATTGTATTGCACTTGTGTCTTGCATTCTAGTTATCTGTGATTGAAAACCTTGGAGTTATCTTCTGGCTTGCAAACTACCTGCTTAGCATTCTGTTTTTCTGTACTGTCCTTCAAAGACGCCAAAGTGGAATTCTAAACGTGCAAAACAAATTACAACTATAGCGGTTTCTGGTTTAAATTGTTTTTAAAGGGCACTGACTGTGATAAAGCTATCCATATTCAATATTGTATAAAGTCAAGCAGTAATCCAAACGTACAACTTATCCAGCTTCGTTGCATTGAATGCATGGCTTTGCACATTTTCAAATCCATTTTTGTACAGCTTCCTGAAAAGACAAGGTTTAAGAATGCATTATTTTATGAATTATATATTAAGTGAAATGAAAGGCTTTAAAGATTTGGTGTTCTTGCTTGATTTCTGAGGAGGACATGGATAATTGCATTGATCACATGATAATTATCTTATTAATAACTTCACAGTAAATTGAAATATTTAAAATGAAATCTTGTAAGAGTAATTGTATGGCAACTATTTCATCCCACATTATTGCAAAGTATTCTCCAATTTGTTCCTTATGTTCAGTTTAAATCTTCTGCCACATCATTCATCGATTATTTTCTAAAAAGGGATTTCCTGATCAAGATACTTGTTCAAGTGAGATACATAATCATTTTGATAAATAGAATAGGAACCCAGAACAGTTTCAAGCATGTCAGAAGTATGTCACTGAAATCAGTCTATTTAACATTATTGATCTGCAGAAGAGCACTATAATTTACATGGGCTTGAGAGTTCTGGAAACAAATCTAGCCAGTGCTAGTGAACAAATGCACAAGGTGCACATGTATCCAGATTTATAGAAAATTCTGAAATAACACTTGTTTGTTCAAATTCCTAAGCTCTTCTTGAAGGTGCAAGGTTGTTTTCTTGTTAGAAAAGAAACATCCTTTATCTGTACTTGGAATATCACTGCAAAACTCATAGAACAGGAAGGATGCAAGATAAGCATCATGGCAAAGCTCAACAAAAATACCTAAGAATCCTTAAAACTTTTTTTTAAGAGCTGACTTTTTTTCAAAAAAATTGTTTTACAGGTTCTGCTTTTAGAATTAAAAACAAAGAAAATGAGCTTCAGAACCATAGTAAAAAAATGGATTGATTATTATTATTGTCACATGTACCGAGGTACAGTGAAAAATGTTGTCTTACGCACTTTACAGGCAGATCGTACTATACAAGTGCTTCACGGTAAAACCTGTTTTATTTGGAACAAGGAAAACACAAAAACAAAACACACTTAATCTAACTACTTGGAAATGTTTTACATAGTTTGAAGAATTCAGCTGTAGAAGAAGAAGGCCATTCAGCCTATTGTGCTATTGCCAGCTTTTTGAAAGAGCTTCCTGATTAGTCCGACTCCCCCATTCATTTCTGATGTCCCTGTAAATGTCTGACTTTTAGTATTATCCAATTCCCTTTTGCCAGCTTTATTATTGGATCTGCTTTCACCACCCTTTCATTTTGAACATCCCACATCATTAACACTTATTGCATAAAATGTTTTTCCTTATGTCATCTCTGGTTCTTTTGCCAACTCCCTTATAAAGAGTCAGTCCTCTGGTTACTGTCTCTTTTGCCACTGGAAACAGTTTCTCTTTATTCACTTTATCAAAATCACTCATGATTTTGACTTCCTGTATTAAACCTTCCCTTACCTTTCGCTGTTTCTCCGGTCTCTTTAAGTAACTGAAGTCTTTCATCCTTAGTATAAATGTAGTTAGTTTCTACTGCACAAACAGTATTTTCTGCCCAAAATAGCCATTATATTTCAGCTGGGCCTTACCAATATATTATAAATGTTTAGCATAATTACCATGTCTTTAAATACCATTAATTATATAGATTCTGTCTGCCTTCTCAATTTGTCCTGTCGCCTGCAAATACCTGTATACATTCACCTGCAGGTCTTTCTGTTCCTGCATCTTATTTAAAATTGTACTGATTTGTTAATATTGCCTCTCCTCAACCTTCCCAACAAAATGCATCACTTCACACTTGTCTCCATTAAATTTCATCTGCCATGTGTCTCTCTATCTCACTACTCTCCTACATCCTCCTGTTACTATCCTTCTCATTGTGTATTACTAATAGAGTCATAGAGTAATACAGCATGAAAACAGGCCCTTCGGCCCAAACTGGTACATGCTTACCATGGTGCCCACTCAGCTAGTTCCAATTGCCCTCATTTGGTCCATATCCTTCTAGACCCTTCTCATTCATGTACCTATCGAAATTTTTTTAGATGTTGCTATTATACCTGCCTCAAGCACTTTCTCTGGCAGCCCATTCCATTTACGGACCACTCTTTGCATGAAGAAGTTGCCCCTCAGGTCCTTCTTAAATCTATGCCCTCCAGTTTTCAATTCCCTATCCGTGGGAAAAAGACTATAGGGATTCATCCTACCTATGCCCTTCATGATTTTATACACCTCAATAAGGTCATACCTCATTCTCCTACATTCCAAGGAATAAAGTCCTATCCTGGCCAACCTCCCCCGATAACTCAGGCCTATTATTCCTGGCAACACCGTCCTTAATCTTCTATGCAAACTTTCCAGTTTAACTATGTCTTTGCTATAACAGGGTGACCAAAACTGTACACAATACTCCAAGTGCGGCCTTACCAACGACTTATACAACTGCAACAGAACATCCCAACTCCTATACTCAATGCCTCAACTGATGAAGGCCAGCATGCTAAATGCCTTCTTTACCATCCTGTCCATCTGTGATGCCGCTTTCAACAAAGTATGTACTTATACTAGTTCCCTCTGTTCCACAACACTCCTCAGGACCTTAGCATTTACTGCATAAGTCCTACCTTGGTTTGACTTTTCAAAAGGCAATGCGTCACACTTATCTGTATTGAATTGCATTTGCCAATCCTCAGCCCACTTCCCCATCTAATCAAGATCCCTTTGTAACTTTTGATAACCTTCTCACTATCAACGATACCTCTTAATTTTGTATCATCGCAAACTGACGAATCATGCCTTGAACATTCACATCCAGATTATTTATGTAAATAACAAATAACAAAGGTCCCAGCACTGACCCCTGTGGCATACGACTAATCTCAGGCCTCCAGTCCGAGAAACAACCTTCAACCATTACCCTCTGCTTTCTACCATTGAGCCAATTTTGAATCCAGTTAGCTAGCTCTCCCTGGATCCCATGTGACCTAACTTTCATGACTAGCCTGCCATGTAGGACTTCGTTGAAGGCCTTACTAAAGTCCATATAGACAACATTCACTGCCCTACCCTTGTCCATCCTCTTGGTTACCTCTTCAAAAAACTCTAAAAGATTTGTCAAACATAACTTCCCATGCACAAATCCATGCCAACCATCTCTAATCAGACCTTGACTATCTAAATGTTGGTTGATCCTGTCCCTCAGTATCCTCACCAATAACTTGCCTACCACTGATGTCAGGCTAGAAATAGGCTAAACTGTCAAACAATGTAAAGAATATCGACCCAAAATTTCTGATCCAGCGCACATTCCCTATTTCCAACCCAAATCAGACAAAAAGTTACCTGCTTACCTTCCTATGACATTTTTGGGTCTGATTTTCAAACTGGGATATCTAACAGATGCTGTGCTGCAAATAACGCAGGTGGCTTCAGAATGAATTTTCACAGAAACCTTAGTCCCTCTTAACATCACCAGATGTCATATCATGGTAAATATTCACTATTTAAAGGTCCCAAAACTGCTTTAAAAGCTATGGAGAGGAGCTAAGTGTGTAAATTAAATAGATGACAGTATAGTGTGTGGGCTGTCAGGTAGGTGAGATTTAGGGTGGCAGATGAGTGAGGGTAATGTGACAGGTAAGTAGTTGAGGTGGGCAAAGGAGGGTGGCAGCTAAAAGTGTGAGATGACATGGTGGGTAAGAATATTAGTAAGTTGGGTGTTGGGTTGTGGGGAGGGAAGATTAGATTGTGGAGGAAGGTTGGATGTCTGGGAGGTGGTCAGATGTTCAGAGGTGTTGCGGGCACAAATGTTGGAGGGAGTAATTGATAACTGTGTGGGGGGTACATCAGTGTCAGTGATTTGCATTTTAGGAATACAGTTTCTCAGGAGATTTAGCTGACCCTCTTCCCTTCTCACTGTCCAAGTGCAACATTAATTAAATAATTGTATTTCTTTTAATTTAGTAGATTGCATTCGCTGCTCACAATGTCTTGTGCTTTAGATTAGGGAGACCAAACACAGATAGGGTGATCATAAGCTCAAGGAATAACACCTTTTCCTTTGATTTGACAATCTTCACTCTTGTTGACTCAGCACTGAGTTCCACAACTTTAGATCATAAGTTGTTCTTCCATCTTGTTCTAGAGTCATAGAGTCATAGAGTCATACAGCACGGAAACAGACTCTTTGGTCCAACCAGTCCATGCCGAACATAATCCCAAACTAAACTAGTCCCACCTGCCTGCTCCTGGTCCATAATCCTCCAAACCTTTCCTATTCCATCCAAATGACTTTTAAATGTTGTATTTGTACCTGCAACCACCCCTTCAGCAGGAAGTTCATTCCACGTGAACCATCCCATGTGTAAAAAAATTGCCTCTTATGTCTTTTTTAAATCACTCTCCTCCCACCTTAAAAATGTATCCCCTAGTCTTGAAATTCCCCCTTTTAGGGAAAAGACAACTAAGATCAACTCTATCTATACCTCTCATTATTTTATAAACTTCTATCAGGTCACCTCTCAACCTCCTATGCTCCACTGAAAAAACTCCCAGCCTATCCAGCTTTTCCTTATCACTCAAACCTTCTATACGTGGCAATATCCTGGTAAATCTCTTCTGAACCCTCTCCAGCTTGATAATATCCTTCCTATAACTGGACAACCAGAACTGGACACAATATTCCAGAAGAGGCCTCACCAATGTCCTGCACAACTTCAACATAATGTCCCAACTCCTATACTCAAAGGGCAGAACCATGAAGGCAAGCGTGTCAAATGCCTTTTTAGCCATCCTGTCTATATGTTTCGCAAACATCAGAGAATTATGTACCTGAAACCCTAAGTCCCTCTGTTCTACAACATTACCCAAGATCCTACCAGTAATTGTATAAGCCCTACCCTTGTTTGTTGTACCAAAATGCAATACCTCGCATTTATCCAGACTGAACTCCATCTACCATTTTTCAGCCCATTGATCCATTTGACCAAGATCCCTTTTCAATCGTAGGAAACCTTCTTCACTGTCTACAATGCCACCAAATTTGGTATCATCCGCAAACTTACTAACC